GAAAAGCGCAAATGAAAAATGCGTATTAAGAACGCGAAATGGTGGTAGGGTTATCTATGGCAAGTGTAAGTCAGAGGATATCAACCGACTGACACGGAGAAAGAAAGAGAAGACCTAAAAGAAGGTAGATTACGTAACAGCCGAACCAGCGTAAAACGGACTCAGTTATATCACGCAGGAAGTGCCGGGGCGAAAGTAAACCGGCAGTATTAAAAAGACGCTAGGTACCGCAGGAAAAGCCAGAAGATGAAACAGTGGAACGAGTCCCTCGCAAGAGACACATGTAGGGACCCAGACACATAAACCAGTGCTAATATTTCCACCAGTTCAATGATCACTAACGCAGTGTCCTACTGCAACGGATCGGCCGGTGGTAGTAAGAATAAGCTGCCCAGCTTGTACTTTCCAAGTCGTTAATTCAAGGCGGCGCCGATGCGGGTTACCTAACAGTGTTACTGGTCAGCGTGCGGCAGAGAAACGCATGTACAACTTACCCGTGTATTGATAATGTTTTTTTACAAAGTCAAAGAGGAGCCAAAGGAAACAAGTTCATCAGAAATCGAATCCGAAAGGATTAAGTAGGCTGTTCATAGGCAACAGCTGATACAGAACACACACACAAAAAAGAACAAAACAGGGAAGCGTCGTACGAGTGCAGAGTAACATGCGAAAGGGGGAAACGAATGCGAAAATAATGCTTCCAAAACGACCGCATGATTGATCACATGATCGAAAAACAATTAACAAAGAGGAATGAAGTGGTCCGCAGGGTGGTTAGTAATCTCTTAAGTTGAAGAACTATCTGAATGAGTGTTATCACCACTATGAAATGAGCTAGCGTTAGAAGTGAAGACTTTGCATGAGGACTGTTGCAGTCCTAGTTACTGAAAAAGTTTATAGTACGTAAAAGTGAAATATGCAAAATTTCGAATTCACACTACTGGCATCAAACATTTAGGGATGAACGATTCGCATACATTGTGCAACAAGTCCAGAGAACGCTGTCGTGACAACGAATAATAGCTGATGATCGATCGATCGAGTTGGACGAAATACGTTCCCCATCGGCAGCTGATCACACCTGTTACAACGAAATGTGCCTGGAGAAACTTGGTAGCGTCCGATTCACAAAAAGTAACGCAGTAGGGTGCGATATAGTGACAGTAGGAAAAGGTTAAAGCACAGTTTGAGAAAAAGAGGAAAATGGTGCTAAACAAGATGGAAATGTCAAAATTAGACTCAAATTATGGGAAATGCTGCTTTGGTTTTGGGAGTTGGGATGAAATGCAGATCGGTAGTGTGGACAGTGGAAGCTCTGGTAGATTGGCTTGTTAAACAATTAATTTTCGAGAGACAATAGAGCAGCACAACCATCGATAGCAAAGTGCGAAACGTTTTTTGGATTACGGACCAAGAATGCCGATGGTTTCATGACGGTTGCGCCAATGTAGTGACGAGACCACAACTGACAAGAACATGAAAAATACAGCATCAGTTAAAGAGACTACGATGACTGCCAGGCACAACGCGCCAGGTTGAGTTGGATTGGGGAACGTAATCCATCTGGTGAGTGTCCTGATAAAACTAGGGTCGCCATTCAGGTGACCGCATCGATAACATAAAGCAACCCAACGCAGTCAGGTGAAAAAACTAAGAACACCATATCTGGCAGCGCTGCAGGAAAGCCAGTCGGAGAGCAACGCACTTGGAACGATGCATGAATAAGCTCCAGACCCCATGATTGGTCAGTTTGGCATCAGTTGTCAACAGAGGGGATTAGCAAATTCAAAACAAACTTTTCCATGGGAAAAGTTTCGACAACAAAAGTCAGAAAGGGCGAAAAGCATCTAAGAAATGAGACAAGCAAGCATCCCATTAACATAAAGAAATAACGGAAAATTGCGTCACCCGAGTAACATGCTGGACACTTTACAAGGACCAGTACCGAAATTGAGAAGACTATACTCAAAGGAAAAGTTGGGGAAAGAAATGCCATGAAGTACTAATAAGTGACAGATTGTGGTCGGATTATTAGCACAGGGAAGGCAAAGAAGTGAGTACTTTATGACGACAAAACAAACAATCAGGAAAAGTATCGGTGCTTGATCACAGTAAGAGGAACGATTCAGTTAACCTCCTGTCTCGGGGCAACTTCGTGCTTGGGTAGCGTAAGTTAGACCATAGCCAGTTAGAGGCATTAAATGTCACATCTCTTAACAGCCACTACTATGCCATGTTGGATCCTTCAGAACCCTTCCTGTGTAAAGATGTTGGTGAGATTCTCTGTAAAGAATGAATCCACCTTATAAACAGAATAGGAGGAGGAGACCGCTTCAGCCAACTTTGGCGTATCGATAATAGTGGCAACACTTAAGAAGCGTGGTCGTACATGTGCTAACTTAAAGCCAGTAGTGGTAAAACTATCGGACTTTATTCTCGTCTGCTGTCTTACTGTGAAATGAGGAATCAGAATCGAAAAAGAAAAGTTACGCTCTCGATCGAGATGGAGTAAACACACACTGTGGTAACGAAAAGAACAGCGTTACGCGTTTCGTAGATCGACCATAACGATTCGGACAACAGGGTCACCTCACTCCCACTGTTACCCCATTTTATTATAAACTCTATCATCACACACATTCTATTGTCACTCAAGGTGTCGGTGTTGACGTCTGTGGGAAAACTGATTCATATGGAGCATGCGAACGATAATGTCTCACTATTCGGCACTCTTCGTACGGCAGAGTCAATGCGTGGTAAACCTCCGCGATGATCCCAACAGTTGGCATGTGCTTTACAAGTCTAAAGTGCAGTTGCGGTTGCCGGAACATCGACCAATAGAAAGTTTTTTGAGTCTTGATGACGAGAAAGTAGACATGGTTGATCGGTTCATCTTGGCGAATACATTACTAGTGATGGGAGTGTGGCTTATGTAGTCAATTCGCACAACGCAAAAGCCACAGTTACGCTTATGAACGCTAGACGCGCAAGGGAATTTCCTCTGGCTGTAAGTGTAATGCTAAAGCAACACAACAAGGGCCGTTCATTTCCACGAAATTCAATCTCTGTTCCTTTGGTTCGAGGATCTCAGAGGCACACAGATACCTTGTCCTAGCATGCCCACTTCGAGGAGCTGAGCAGAAGAGAACTATGCGGAAATAATCAGAACAATTCCTGTAACGGACAAATTAACTTGTTCAACCTCTCTGAAGACTTCCCCCATTGATTGACCCCAAAACGGCTAATCACTACCCCTTGATTGTTTATTGGACTTTGTATGATAAAACTTCAATTACTTTGTTTCTCGTTCACATTTGGACCTTGATGAACCAAGAGAATTTACCCGTTTTGCATCGCTCAATGGTTAAGCTTGCTATTCCCGCGTTCCATGTGTACTGCTCCTTGGCTGAACGATCGAAGTTTGATCACTTCGCTTTAAACCACGCTGACATTAGAACCGCTTCTCTTCATTGTGCTTATTTGTTGATCATTGCTGTTAGCGGCAAGTTGCATTTGAGCGCCGAATTATTGTACACATTTGGTATGGAAATTGTTTGAGGTTTGTTATTAAATTGTTATCTAACTACTTGTGAATGGCACCTCAGATCTTCCGGATTGACCCATCTGCGCTAGGAGTTTCTTAGCTCTTCCGGCTTTGACTTTCGGATCAATTCGGCTGCGAGAGCAGTTGCTCAGATTTCAAGACGGATTTGTCGGTAACAATTCCTCAGATCAATAAAAATGACTAGATTAGTTGTGCTGGTAGCGTGCGTTACGCATGCCTATTCAATGCCAATCAAGGAGATGCTTGCTGCGCTTACCGGATGACACAAAGATAGAGGGAACAGTCGATTTGCTGGCAGAGAAATGAAACACCTGGTCACCAGATGGGTTGCTGTTGGCCCCAATCCACTTTCATACTGGAGCTCTACGTGATCCACTCTGCGAGTGGCTCCGAACATCACAAGATATAACACACAACAGGCGCCAGTGATATGTTGGATACCGTTTCCTAGCCGAATTACCTGTATAGTATGTGTATAAGGCTGAGAGGTTTGTACAGCGAAGATGACTATGACGGGTTAATGAAAGAAGTGAGGAAAAGGCCTTATTAAAGCCTCAGTACCTTGGCACAATAACCAACCGACAGTGGCCGTGCGCAGGTAGCACAGAGTGGCAAACTCAATGCTTAAGGGTTGCTCAAGATATTCGGGACTTACACTGGGTCCTTACTTTGTCCTTAAACCCTTTCTCCATTAGTAGAATCATTTCTTAATAGGTGGCTGATGACAGTAAAGCGCCAGTAGAAGAATACTGCTGCACTAATGTAGCCGAATCTGATAATTTGAACAAGCAATAATGCGGGATCAGGAAATTCGCGTATCGTCAACTGCCCATGTATACGTCTTCCAAAAGTAGGTACGACGGACTAGCAAACAAGTGGGCCGGCGAGCATGTAGAAGCTTCTCAAAACAGTGCAAGTGAGTAGATGAACTGATAGACGGACGTACAATTAGTATCGACAGTTGTTTGAGATTATTCAAGGAAAATAAGGCAAGAAACCGGGAGCCAAAATGTATCCTGGTAAGTGTAATGGAATGAAATCAAACAAAAGAAGATTGAGTCACTCGTCGTTGAACTGTATGTGTAGTTTTATCATGCAGATAAGCACAACACTAGGCAAATCAAATGGAAAGGACATAACTGAAGTCGACATTACGGGCTATTAACCTACATAGACGATAAGTAAACACAGTTTAGGGACTAAACTCGTCCTAGCGAACTTGAAACACACATTCATTAGATCAACCGCGAGATACACCAGACATCAAGAGGTTAATGGCCACCAGGAGCCAAGAGTACACCGTGTCCAGTGTGGATGCGGAAAAACCCAAAGCGTACAGTGGGTGATACGACCTGAACGGAAGGTGAATAACAATTGACTATTATAAGGAGACAAGCAGCGACAATCCATTCGAAAACATATGTCCTTTACTTACCAAACGATAGCCTGTCGAATGTCCGAAATTGTGTGGGAATGGTTCAGTCGAACAAGCAGCCTGAGGTGCAAAGGAAAAAATGGAGAGGACAATTAATCAGCAAACCTAATGCATACCAAAAATGTAACCAGTCAAGGGAAAACCGCAAAAAATGATCGTCCTAAAACGGGGAAACGTGTCCATCTGCGTGGCGAAAAAAATCGAATGACGGGACAGGGGAACATGTTTCAGGTATTTTATAGTGATAAAAAGGAATGTAGAACGCATAAGAACATTTCGGCACAGTAACAGACAGGAAAAGGACATTTAATAGAATTAAAAAAAGTGGAAAACAGGTGCATGGATGAGGGTGTGCCTTGAATGTCACCGGAAATTCCCAAACAGGTATATGGGAACGAAGTAATCGGCGCGCCTTTTCGTAAGAAACCCCAACAAGTTCCAGAGAAAGCAGAAAAACAGACAATAAAGAGTTTGCGGGTGAAAGCGTTGGTTTACGCCAAGCATATGAGCTCCGAAAACGTCGAGAAACATGATAAAACATATAAACGATATTTTATGGCGTTTCATACGATAAACCAGTAAGGTAGTGCCTAATTAATATGTTACATAGAGTGAGAAGGAAGGTTGAGTAAAAATTCCGCAGACAAAAAAATAACAATCGGGGCCTCACGTAGTAAAGGGTGGTCAAGATGATCAAGAATGCAACTGAGAAAACTATAACTACCGAGAAAGTCAAGCTAATGAGCGATATCCTCTCCCTTCTGCATTTTGGGAATTTTGAAAAGCACGTGGAAGTATAGCGAATTCAGTCAGTGGTCAAAGGTCTGGTGGTCATTGCAATTATGAGCTGGTTGAATTGGCGTTCTGGTTGCTAAAATCCCGATTAACGAGCAAATCTAGTTCATCAATCCGCTTCGGGAGCATGCAAATTCTGCACCTCGGACCAGCGGTAAAATAGATATTACAGGGTAAACTGATGTGGTTGAATGAAAGCTTTGAGCAATAGATGGCCGGGTTGTAGCACCTGTACACAGATAACGCACTTATCCAGTGGAAAGAAAGCCAATCAACAAACAGGTAATAAAAAGGTTGAGTGGGAGACGCTTACTACAACACTGCGGTGGAAACTAACGGCGTTGACCTTAGCGAACTTCCAAATCGATTGAACAAGATACAAGGGGTGACTCAAACCGGCATCCTGATGGTATCGCACGCAGGACAACCTTCGGACGTATGTGTACTGATCACTGTTTGGTGACCCTTAGGAACGACTAACCCATCGGTTTCATAATCCTTCAGAGGAACTGTGCATTACTCAGTGACAATGCTGATGATAATGTGCTTAATTTAATGTATGATATCCGGGTTCGCCGAAAAATTTCTAGTGTCGGAATAGAGGACAAAACGCAATATAGTTGGAACAAACTTAGGAAAATAAGGTTACTTAAAATATGCGAGTAGTGTGATTTTCCGTGGAAACGAAGATGGCCAAGCAGCCATGGTGAGTAGTTGTCAGATGGAGGACGCAAACCGCAGTTTATGGATGTAAATAACGTGATCTGGAACAAACGGCGAGGTAGTGAGAAAGCCCGAAAACCTCGAGTACGACAAAAAGTTTTCTATAAGTTGTTACGCTAGGAGCATTTATTGTGGCGCTAAGTGGAGCTGACTGATGTAGTAATGCAGATACGAAATCGATGTCGCATAAAGATTTGAAAATGGATAAGGCAAAGCGAGTAATCGCGAACGTCGACGTCACGGGTCCTAACCAAAGGCACGGAGAAATTGAGGAAAATCGGAAACGCGTTACATAAGTTGGTGTGTTCAAATGATGAATGGAATAAAACATCCAATAACCGTAATGGGCACAAGGCAGTGGGGACGAATTGTGCATGCATCTTACACAGACATTAGCAAGAAAGCAGGCAAACTCAACACTGATTCATTCAAAACAACGGGTGGGCAAGCTGCAGGATAAACGGAACAATATACACCTTCCACCGTCAGGGAGACGGATCTGAAGCTGCGTCACCGGCTTTGAACTATCCACTTGTACGTCGGGCAAAGGAGAGATCACTTCAGAAATTTGGGCAGGCGCGAGCTCTGAGACTAAACGAGGAACAGGGTGGCCAAGAACGTTTCCTTTGCCTGAAAATGGGACTACCTTAGGCGGGGGAGCATGCCACTCTTCATGATGGTGATCTTCGAGCAGAACGTTGATGAGACCACCTTGCCCAGAGCGCACCAATTCCTGAAAGAACGATCGAAAAACATGGTTTATCCGTGCCAAGAAACAAGATTAAAAAACGACCTTTCGGTCCGAAAGGTGAAGAAGCAACAGGCTCCATACACAAGCGTCACCGTTGATAGCAATACATTAGTGCGAAACACGAATGTTTCATTGTCAGACAACCACATAACCCTACTAATGGAGAGGGGTAAGAAGACGAGGGACTAAATGCATAACTCAAGTATCTTAGGCGACCAAGCAAGATGAATGCGGCTATATCTTGTAAGCCCCACATAGCCAAAAGCCGCTGGATATCGAATAGAGAAAGAAGCAGAGGCAGGTTCCTCTTTGCTTCCGCTGTAACGCATGAAAGCTACCGCACCCTCACCGACAACGCGGTATCATAGATACATAAAACAGGCAGTCCGGTTAGGAGACTACATCAAACACAGATCTGGTGTAGGTTGAGATCCATGTCCGGCAAAGTTTTGAGAGAAGGGTGGAGTTGGCCACTGGTACAAGGAGGGATGGACCAAAAGAAACCAAACAAGTGTTAAGCGACTATACTTCTTGCTGATATATTAACATGCCTCTCCATTGAGCCGTAGTATAGTATACAGTACATCAAAACGAAGTCCCTCTCAGTGAGCAGGTCGCGGGCATTGGTAACGTGTGCTTGAACCGTTAGTTGCAAAATCGTATTCAATACGAAGCAAATACCTTAAACGGTCCGTGGAATATAAGCAACTGAATGCGGAAGTGGTAGATGAAAATCAGGCCACCAATTGACTCCAGAAATAAGATCAGATTTGGCACTACCCAATGGTTAATAACCACGTGAAGGTGTTATGAAAAATGACTCCAAATAGCGACCAATGAGACAAACACGTTAGAGAGAAAGATACAACAGTGAACACAAATCGTCTTTACAGGCGTGTGGGTAACCGGAGTATGGCGTTAGGTGTGTGACAGAACAGAGCTGCCCCTAGACACAAGTCAGTAGCAAACGGGAAAAAGTGAGGGATCAAGGATAAAGCAAATAAAATAGGGTGACGCAGACATTATCCAGGTTGCCTAGAAATCGTTTCATCAGACAGCTATAAGTGTGCCTATTTAACGCGAACCAGGTGCTGTGAGGGCGAGTGCGGACATATCGGAAAGCCAACTGAATTATTATGTGGAAATCCTAATTAATTTCCCAAGTCATGTAATCATGATCATCATCAACAACAGCGGTACATCAGCCAATTGAACTGATGCTTCGCTGCCCTACAACCATGAGGACTTATGAAATAAAGAATAAGAAGAGGGAGAGAAGGGGGACTTACCTGAAAACCCTAATGCCCTAAGCAAACATTCAGGGTCAAGGCGCCTGCACCTTTTGTAAACAACATACCGTCACGAACAGCTGGCTATCGTGCAAAGATAAGGCGGCATCGGCGAGACAGCTTCCTTGCGGCTTTCACTGCCCCCCCCGTTATAATCACCCATTACCCCGCAGATAACTCAGCACCAAACACACTTTAAACAGACAATCCGATTAGGAGACGGCAGCAGACGCGCCACTGGTGTCGGTTGCGAGCCATGTCCTGTAAAGTCTCGAGCCAAGCACAAGGCGAGTCACGTGGACTCCAACCCGGAAGGCGAGACGGACCAACGGCACTGCGTAGTAGCGCGTTCAGTTCGTGATAAAATGCGTCCTTGACAGCATTTGAACAGCAGTCGATGGGAGCATAAGCGGAAATCACAAACAAACAGCGTTTTGTACCACTTTGTGAATCAACTTTAGCTGATGTCGTCAAACGAGCTGCAGATAAACGGCTGTTCATCGGAATCCAATCAACCAACAATGGCTCAGCCTTGGAGCTTAGATTGATATCTACACAAGCTTAACCCGTGGGTGCTGCATCGGTGTCTGCGGATGTGCGCAACCAATAAAGAGAGGATAAGCCGGGTGTAGTTCATTCAACAACCCTATTAGGGTCATTGATCCTAGTTTTGAACAGACAACACACATCAATACCCAGTGTCCAAGGTGCGTGCGAGCGCACCCTGTTAACCTATTTGCCTTAGAGTGCGAACGTTGAATGTCGCCATGGAAACGGGACAGTGTGGCCTTATAAGGGAATGTTGCTGATAGGTGTTCGGTGGGTGTCGCGAGAAGGTGGCTGCAGATAGTTCTACTCCAATGGCACTTCGGTTGCTGTCAATTAACCTGGGAATTATAGTGGGAAGGTTAGTAATGGGGGTAGTAATGGGAGTAAGAGAAACAGGTGCAAAAGAAAGAAGGGAGGCGCCAGCAGCAGCATGTTTTCGCTTATCCAGCCTGTTGTACGCGGCAGATAAGGCGAGCCTTGATAAACTGCGCGATGGCCGATACCGTTTATGTTGGAAGAAAAAGTCATGGTTGTATGTGGGCTGGGATACTGACAGGGCGCCTAGACCTAGACAGGAGGACGATTAGGGTCCGCATCCAAAGCGTGTCCGCAAGGCAGCGGGGAGGTGGCAAGGATTTAGTTTTACAGCAATGGCCGCCATCCAAGTCATGTAAACGGATGGCTGAGTGCAGAGAATAAGCGTTTGTTACATTAAGGACTGGAGTTGGGCTTATTCTGGTCCGCCAGCATCATCCTCGTCAGCATAAAAACGATTAACGTCCCACTTTAGTGGCAAGACGTTGGGCCTGTGCATAAGGAGGGCTTATATATATATATATATATATATATATATATATATATATATATATATATATATATATATATATATATATATATATATATATATATAAATATATAGGCGGGAGAGCCTATGGTCCACTAAGGTAAGGGGTGGCTAGAATCTGACAGATGGTCTACCGACTGATGCTACTGTTGTGCCATTTGCTCCTGTCCTGGACGCCTCCTCGTGGCGACTGCTGGGTGGGAGTTGGGTTACGCCCTTCTCCTAGCTAAGATTCAGGACACCAATCCACACAAGTCAGTGAACTGACCATGTGCTAGAATCAATGCGTTTCGGCCGTACATTTAATCGAAGGATTCCGCTGAGGACCCGAGTCGTTTTCCTGTCAGAGGTGGGCGCTATGCCAGTATCCTAGTCCATCTTCTTCGGAGGTTAGGGAGTTGTCGACGGCCCTCTTCCCGTAAAATCTAGCTATGGGAGACAACAGGTCTACGGGTTATAGGCTCACTACTCGATTGGCGTAGAGCAGGAGCGCCATGCATTTTCACTAACGGCGGGAGGACACCTCCGGGTGTTCAATGGTTTGCTACTGCCCGCCTCAAGCCAGGCAGCCCCTGGTCAAATTAGTGCAAACCCACCAAAACCCACCTGCGTCTGGCCGTGGTCTCAGGTGCGTACCCTACTACGGTCGCAAAACATATATGAATTGTACCAGATCTCCAAAGGCTGCATGTGACGGCCATCAACCAGATCCCAATCTGTCTCTGTAATCACCTTCCCGAGCTGGGTCTGCTCCCCACCGCGTTGTGAGCCAGGTAATCGAGCCAAAGGTTCCGGGCGGAGTCCCTCAAGCAAACCTCCAAACCACCCACTGTCTTGTGCGTCAGGCTATTGAGCCAAAGGCTCCGGGTGGAGTCCCTCAAGCAAACCTCCAAACCACTCACTACATTGTGAGTCAGGCTATTGAGCCAAAGGACCCGGGTGGAGTCCCTTAAGCAAAACTCCAATACCCCACTGCCTTGTGGATCAGGCTATTGAGCCAAAGGTCCCGAGTAGATCCCCCAAGCAAACCTCCGAAGTACAATCGCCACCTCGCGATTGCCCACCAATGCGATCCTATGCCTGCGCGTAACGCACTCAGCAACGGGTGTTGGAACGTGCACACATTACTGAAGCGGAACTCGCGTGAGCGCCCCGAGCGACGCACAGCACTCGTCGCGATGAAACTGGCGCGCTACAACATCGACATTGCGACGCTCAGTCAAACCCGGCTCGTTGAGCAACGTAAATTGCATGGAGCAGGTGCTGGCTACACATTCTACTGGGTGGGCAACACCGCCTCAGCACCACGTGAGCATAAGGGCCGATTTTGCAATATCCGATCGCCTCCATGGCAAGCTCGTGGGTGAACCAACAGCCATCAGCGCGCGACTGATGACTGTTCGCCTACGACTCGGAAGAGGTAAGTTTGCTACTTTTATAAGCACGTACGGTCTGACCATGTGTTATCCTGATGACACGCGTGATCAGTTCTACACTGAGCTATCCTCCGTGATACGGTCTGTGCCGAGGAGCAACCGAGTATTTCTACTGGGCGATATCAACGCGCGCGTTGGGCGTGATACATCGGTGTGGACAGATGTTATCAGTCCGCATGGCATTAGTTCATCCAATGTGAACGGTTACAGGCTGCTCTCACTGTGTGCCACTCATGGCCTGACGATCACGAACACGCGGTTTACACTGAGTGCGAGTGATATAGCAACTTGGATGCACCCACGGAGTGGTCACGCTCATCTGCTCGACTACGTCAGCGTGACATATGTGAAGTGTGCATGACACGTGTACTGCGTGGAGCTGAGTGTGGCACTGATCACAAATTGGTGCGCACCAAACTGTATATATATTTCGGAAATCTATGCATTGCACTCCCGCCGTGAATCGGCGTAAATTTAACATTCTCTCCCTCGGTACTGTGGCGGTACGTACCGAACTGGAGAAGATGATGGCTACACGCCTGTGTGATGTGGACTGCATAGCCACAGTGGGCGACCTGTCGCACCACATTCGCGACCAGGTGACAGCTGATGTCGAGGAAACCATCGGGCTCGCAAACTGTAGGCGGCTTGATTGGTTTGATGAGAACAATGCGACGATTGGCGCATTGGTGTCGGGGAAGAGTGCAGCATTTGCTGCACATGTCGCAGACCCCAGTGACTTGGGGAAGAATAGTCAGTTTCGCAAACTTCGAAGGGGTCAGTGACCCGAGAGCTCCGAGGTATAAAAAAGCATGGTGGACGGAGAAGGCGAAGCAGATGGAATGCTACGCCGAAGGTCGCCAA